GCACTGGAAATCACCTCTCCTTGTATGGTCCGAAGCAGCGTCGCAGTGAGGTATACCAATTAACAGCGGTAAAGATGTTCAGAATTGTAAATGTTTGTTTTATTTAGTCGAAGCGCATTTCGCGCAGTTTTGACGAGGATAGCCTGTACTTTGCAGAGCCGAAGCTTGTTCCTGAAAACAACAATTTCGGCGTTGATCGCGCCCTTCTTCCGCCCCTACCGCTGAATGTATTGAGGGACAGCGAACCACTGGCACGCCTGACGGCTATTGCGAAGCGAGCTGGTGTTGACATCCACATGGAGAGTTTGCAGCGGCAGTTGGAATCTTCAGCGGCGTTTCATAACTCACCCAGTTGTCTGCGTTACTTCCAACAGATGAGATTAAACAACGCCCTTAGGGAAACGTTCCTCAGTCGTTTTTTGTGTTTGCTGTTCTCCTACGACCACTTCATCGTTAGCAACTGCAGTGACAAAGAGACGTTCGTTACAAGCCGCGATTCGATGCAGAACTTCGATAAGGCTAGCTTCCTGTCTGACCAGCCAGAGTCTCATTTGCCGTTCCTGGCTGCTTTCCTTGAGACACAGATGTTCACTTCTTTCATTGACTCGAAGATTATCTCACAGTGGGATGACTCAGACATTCAATATGTTCAGTTGTTTGATCAGCGTCTTGCTGAACTGCGGCGACAGTATGGAGACGCTATTGTGCGAACTCCTACTTTTGAGTCCTGTCCGACATTCCGCATATCCGGTAAGGGCATTCATGTTTTCCTGTATGATGCTCGAAATTTGATAGTACTAAAATCTCGGTGTCTCCGAGTCGTTGATCTTAAAAATGTTTCTGCTGGATCTTAAAGTATAACCGTATTCATCGTTGCAACTTCAACAAGTCAATAAGAAGTCATTTCGAGGCCCAGCACTAAGCCGAATTAATCATGATCCTGTTATTTGAACCATTTGTATTATACATGTCATTTTTAATTTTGTTTCAAGGTAATTATTATCAATGAAAATTAGCCACAGTGCTGTATGAAACACCTATATTTTAATTTCGAGCCTAAGAAGAGAAAAAATGGCGTTTAGTGCATATCTTTCATCGCTAGCAATATTTAGTTAGCAGAACGGATAGCTCTCCTATTTTTGCCAAATAATTTTTGTCAGGTATTCATGTTTTGTCGTTAATGCTCTTGAACACTTATTCGCCGTGATGAGGTCTGATGCTGTTGACGACTCAACATTCGTTAGCTGTCCTTAGCGATAATTCTTTCAGATACTTGCTTCGTATATGTCTTCAGCAGTTTCGTCGCCGACCATGTCCTCTCTCATGGCAGACCTTACCAATTCACTAAAGTGTCAGATACTATTATTCGTTCACTCACCCATGCTTCCCTGTGCTAATCGTCGTGTAAGACTACTTGAGAGGTCGATCGTTGGTACGCAATCTTTTGTCCAATTAGAGATTGCACTGTTTGTCATTCCTGTAGATCGTTGCGTTGTTTACCTTTCCTTGTTATATTCTTTTTTGTGAAGTTCTCTTGTTCTTAGCAGTTGCTTTTGCTTTTCAGAAGGATTAATCACTAAGCGGGAAGAGAACGTAGACTATGAAGTTTCTACGCCGCATATACTTGCCGAAAATATGCCGATTTCATCTTCGAGCTACAACGGTATTTTTCCGCTGCTCAATGCAGCAACCTTAGAGCAGCCGATTGCTGTCATGTATGTTCATTGATCTTTAATGAAAGTGTTTTAAAAATCAATTTCAGCTCTCAGAGAAGCCCGTGGAAACAGCGTTACAAACATTTCAAGCAAAGAAACACACTTGGAAAGGTTTGATCAAAAATTGGACTTTGCATCATTCTCCTATATTAAATGACTTTCGCTAGGTGTTGCAGAATGATTCGAGGAATTGACTTTCTGTTAAACCCAGAAATTTTGCAGCTACTTATAATTGTGCACCTTGAACGATACGATCTCACAAGTTGCTGAATTTTATCATGATCGAAACCAAGAGACTATGCTGCTCAATAAATTACTATACTTCCTGCAGTCTCATCGGAAAGCCAAGCCAACGTTTATGCAAGTCCACCTCGATTCTGTAAACTTGCATAAGTTTTCGAATCTCGGTTGATTTTATCCTAACATATCGACGCTCAGATCTATGCTATTGCCCTCTCATAATGAATATTGGAACACAACTCAATCATTTGTTCAATAAAAACTGATCTGAACCGTTTAAAATTAGGTCATTCGGTTATTCTGTATTATGCCGTTTCTTCTCAGTTGACTTTAAAAGTTAATCCAGTCTTAGCGAATTCACTTGACCAGTTCTCATCATAAATCAGTAAATCAGTTACCTTTAGTCCTTCCGCCCAGATTTACAGGAGATTTTGTTCCTATGATTGTATTTGTTGTTGACAGGTTATAATATGAAGAAGTTGTGTGATCAGCCCATGAAAAGGAGGTTACAGAGAATTCAGCGACAGTGTCGTTTCTTCGGTCAGCAACGTAGTCAGAGTTAGAAAGTGGATAGCCAGACTGCCTTGCGTTGCGCAAAAGACCTCAGTCTGTAGAGTGCGGAAGAACCACGGAAAGAAGGAGCACTTGCATTACCTTACTGCACCCTGTAAGGCAGCTTCGTCGCCTCGTTCGTGCAGTCAGTCATTGCTACCGGCGAGAGCAGCGGCATTGGCTGTAGGGTGAAATCAGAAAGATCCATGAGAGCCACAAAGGGTAACTGTTGAACAGCGTATCAAGGAGCACTACAGTTTTACAGTTAGCAGAAACGTCATTCGCCCTTGCTTAAGACCCAAAGGGTGTCCCATTGGCAGGTAAGGAGGAATTCCTTGATAGACGGGCTGAGCATTAACGCAATTTCTCGTGAATCAGCTTTCGCCTTAGCCACTGTTTTAGCTGCCCCTTACCCGCATTTATTTGGGAGTTCGTTGCTTCTAAGCCTCCCGAATAAACTTTCTCTTGAATAAACCTTCTGGCTGACTGCCAGTTAACCTCCGGTATTTTCCAGAATGTTCATTTCTGACCCATAGGTGGCATTCCAGCTCATTTTAAACGATGTTATTCAGCAACAGTCCTAAGTAAGGGGCTCTTGTTGAGCTTCTACTCGGTTTCTGTACCAACAGTAATCATTGGGATCTGTTCAAACCATCGCATGATGCTGCTGTTTGCAATCCGCCATACGATTGATTGTTTGCACAGAATCGCAATAACTTTATAACGTTACTGTTGAGTTACTGCTAGTGCCGTTCTTTCGAATCACGCGTTTCCACATTTCAGTGTCTGCTCCGAAATGCGCATTGAAATCGCCTATTTGAATGATGGATTCTTCGTACCGAGCACCTTCTACTTTTCTCAGGAAGGACTTACGTTTTCCCTCTGAATTATGTGCATAGATCTGTAACAAGGTCAAAACTTTCGCTTATGGCAGCTTGCGTCGGACTATTGCTACTCGTGCTTTGACAGACTTTCATTAAACGAATTTGTCTGTCAAGGTGGATTCTTCCAGATCATCGACACCGGCTTGAGTGTGGTCGTAGCGCCAACATCTATGAAGTCAGTGGCCTCATCAAGTGTAGGCTCCCACTGTGGGTATCGTTTCCGTGTAACCTTATCTGATGTGCCAAAATGACATCTCGTTATGTCTTATCCGTTCATAGCGGGTAGTGAATCCGTTGCTGAATGGTGTTTTCATCGTCTTCTCAAGGATCATCAGTAGCCGTCGCCATGCTTTTACGCCTCGAAATGTCAGAAAGCGTGAAGCAGCTTCTTATAATCGAAAGTTTTATTACTTCCTGAACAATGTACGTTCTCCTTCTTATTCCGTGTGAGAACTTAGCCGCTATAAATCTCGATTGTTTTAGTACAGTGAGAGGCAAATGACTAAACGTTGTTGGAGATTTCGCCACCGTATCCTACCCTCCTTTCTCGTTCAGGCTTTTGTTCAGCAATGGCTGAGTAAAATATAATTGATAGAGATCAGTATTCGGTTAAAATAGCTTGTTTCATGCCACAGTTTTGGTCTTTCAGTTTTTCTTTAAACTTTGTTTCCTTAATGCTGCGTCTCTTTCCAGTCTATGCAGTTTCTGGTACGCAGTTCCTTTCGGTAATACCGTGTTTACAAGATTTTTATCGCACATTTGAGGGTTATCAAAAGGCGACGTAGAGCAGGTGGTTATTTTTGCAGATGTTGAGGCAGCTCCTCGACTTAGCATATTTTTTGTATAATTTCTTACATGAATGTAATTTTTCACGCATTTTATTAAATTGCTTTTCTTATATTATCTGATAAACCCATGTAATAGGGATAGTAACATGAGTTAAATAAAAAATGGTCGAAAGCGAAGCCAGTCATGTCTGAAATGAGGATATTAAAAGCGTCTCATATAATTTTACGGTTTTTCCATGCTGTTTTTTAACGCATGAAATGCCGTCCAAATTTGATTTCTTAGAGTTTTGTTTACGAAATAACTGTTAGTGTTTTGGTTCGAATTATATCTGAAAAAATTAAAATTTAAGGCGCCTCACATTGACTAAACTAAATTAAACCCTGCCTTCTCAGGTTCATTTCTAAATTTTCTTTGGAAAATGCATTCCTTGAATGCCGGTTGATTAGCTTTTATTTTTGAATTTGACACTACAGTCTTATTTAGGAGGCAGACGCTAAAGATGCATCAAATGCAACCAAAAGTGCTGGCGTAATATCGGCGGATTTGACGGTTGCGCAGCTTGCGCAGACAAACTGGAAGTTTGTCGAACAGTTACTGCGTGATGCAAAGGCTAAGACGAAAAGATTGCTTGTAGAAAAACTTGGAAAAGAAGCAGTGGAACTTGGTCACAACGATTTGAATGTCGTCGGCATCGAAGAGAATACACTGGTTGCTAGTCTCTGTGATCTCATAGAGAGGATCTGGAATCACGGGTATTATAAAAGGAAAGTATGTGCAAATATCGGTCGCACTGTGGATCTAATTTAAAAGGAAATTTAGGGAAAATCAGCTTTTTGGTCTTACTTGGTTGCCTTCCAACGATTGGATAAATACACCGAAAATGGCAAATCGTTGCTGTCTAACAGACTAACTCCAGGTATAATTGACATTTGAGTCGCTTTAGAAATCGATTGAATCCTTAAGAATTTAATCTTTTCCCATAAAGACTCGTGTTTTATCTACGTTTTATCGAAATAGTGCTTTTCATTTAGTTTTTTTGGCAAAAAATAAGAATCATGTATCGAGCATTACGTCGTATCCTGGTGCGCGCCAGTTAAAGCTTCTTCTTCGACACATGCATTGATTCTGTGTAGTTTAAAACGTATTAGCTGGTAACTTTTACTAGTTTGTCAAACTTGTTTGGCAACTTTTTCGAAGAATCCAAGGCATTCAGCCTCGTGTAATTTAATACGAGTTTGCTGTCACAGATGAAGCACTATCTGTTAGCATTGCATATGAACTTCCAGATAGGTCTTGGCATTAGACAGCGAAATTTTTTTCACCTGGCCAGCTTTTCAGAGTGCTTCAAATGTTAGTAAAAGTTATTACCGTTACTTTTACAAGTGTATGTGTACGTTTGCTTTATTTGTTGTTACCTTTATTCTGTTTTATTTTAAGAGCTTTCAATCATGCACCGTACCAATATTAATGTCCGCTACTTACTAGAACTTATTTAACTATCACCTGAATAGGTAGCAAGCAAGGGGAAGAAAATTGGGGACAGAAATGATTGAACATGCATACTTCACCGAATTTTGCATATGTCTACGAATATGAATTAGAATAAACTGCACCTTCAAATCCATGTTCAGAATAGCTATTTTAGATGTGCAATTATTTTTGCGAATTCTTTGGTGAAGGACACAAAAGACTTACAGTGATGAGCGTGTTATTTTTTCTTACCATCCTCATCTAAGTTTTGTAATTCGAAATTTCCAGAATTGGTTATAGTTGGCAGCTTAAAGTGCTGTCTTATATTTATATTATACATCTTTCGTTCCATAAGCGTTTTGTTGTTATGGCCTGACTGATTTGCCACCAGTTGATTACTTCCAAAATAGAAATATATTTAGAAGATTTCCTTTTCCTTTTTTTAATGACGCCACAGTTTTCTCCCACCACTGTGAGTAGCATCAACTCCTTCTGACTCATTTGTACCACTGTAGTTGATTTGAAGATACTTCGAAAGCAGCATTACAAATTTCGTAACACAGGAGGTCAGGAAATTTTCCAGCGCTGCGAATGACTGTTTTCAGAATTATGATCTGCGTGACCGTTTTTATACTCCGGTCGTTTCATGCTTCACATAGCTTCTCGAAATTCGCTAATGCCAACATAATGCGCCATTTCGTTTCTCAATTACAGCCATGAACAGAAGAACAATATTATCTCAAATTTCTGTTCTCTCCAATGATAGTCCATGTCATTTGGCAGAAATATTGATAGTGTAACAGAAACCTGAAGTATTTCTCATGCCCACAATCACTGAATTCTCGCAGCTCATTTTTCGTTTTCATGTTGTAATAGTTTAACAGTAAAGAGCTGTATGTAGCTCTGTGTCTGTATACAGAGTGATACATATTCTGTGTCTGTATCTGAGAGATGCATATTCGATGAGTTAAAATATTATCAGACTCAGTTCAATATTAAGACATGCTTTCCAAAAACTTTTTTTATCATATCTTTAAAGTACTGATTACCCCAAGAACCTGTTTGTGTCTTTTCGTAGTTAAATTTCTTTAACGTAAAAATTCTGTTCTGCGTGAAAATTAAAATCAGCTGCCATATTCTAACAAAAGGTTAATTCTTCGACCGTTGTGCTCTTAATGTATTGTTGCGATTTGTTTGATGTCGACAACCTCCGCATCGTAAGGTGTTTGAAATATTCATATTTCGGCTGTTTTATATAAGTGTCCATTTAATCCATCATATTTTTATGAAATGCTTAAACTATGTTTTTAACAGCTCTAGCATGGGTTCTTCTTCGAAGAAAATTGGAAGGTAACTTCGCTGTGATACTCTCTGCATTTCGTTATTTGTATGTTCGATGTTCATGTTTAGTTGTTGTTTACATTGTACTGAGGTTTGCAGTGTGGTGCTGTTCACTATTTAATTGAGCCTTGTAGGATTGACTGGTGAAGAATCCCTCATATCTTACTTGAGAAAGATCCGCTTCTCAATGGAATCGAATTCTGCTGATTGGTCAAGCCCTCTGCTGCGTGCAGCGTCGTCAATTTACGAGAAGATGCAAAAAAGAGCGGATTATATTAAAGGGGGTCTGAGGAGGTCTGGATCTAGGGGTCTGATAGCTGGTAAGAAGGATGAATTGTTGTGCTCTACCGGGTCTGGGGTGATGCTGAATGATTTCACTTTCTAGTTATTCTATTAACACGATAACTAATTGTCGGGAAGCTAAGTCGGGATGGAAGTTTTCTCATTTAACACTTTGCTTGTGCATGCCGGCATGCATACTTTTTGGATACGTAAATATTGTTACCTTTGCATGGCCTGGATGGTTTCTCACTATGCAGAATTTTTGCTTGCAAAAGTTGTTCTTGGTAGATCTCTCACCATGGTCCAACAACGCTGTTTCGCCCAGTTTAAAGTCGCCTGAAGGATTTAATTCAAGCCCAGAACATACTCACCGGTCGAGCTCAGTCGAATCATCATCACCGCGGAAGAGGAATTCCACCCGAACGCACAGTCCAGACTCGATGAGCCCACTGGATGACCTTCCCACTCACATCGCCTACGACATGAGCAATGTTATCAAGATGACCGAAATCAAAACTGAAATCGGTTCCGCTAGAGCTTTCATCCGTTTGGCGCTTGAACGAAAGTTGTTGTTCAAACACCTCAAAACAATGCTCAGTAACCCCGCGTTAATTGGGTAAGTCCCCACAGTATCTCTTTTCTAAACGAAGTGTGACATACGAACTGTATGACCTCGCATTGTCTTTTTGTTATGATATTTTAAGCATCTCGGTAACTCCTAAATTTGGACGGGTAATAGTCTCATAGGTCCAAAAGCTTTGCGACTTTGCGAATGACAGTACAATTGCGGACCAATGGCGATAATCCGCTTTTCCCAACAAGGCTGTGGATGGACTGACTGTCGTGTATTGGCTGATTTTGGAGCTGACTTTCCAAGATAATTCAGGAGAAGAGTTTTCTGGAAATTGACACTGGTGTTATGTTACGATAGATGAAACACTCGGTTACTCGCCTCCGCTTTCGATATAAGGACAATTACTACGCACCTTCCTTATCCAGCGAGACGTTTAGAGGTCCTCTTTTGAAGGGAAAGGGTATGGAGCATTTCTGTCATTCTTGTTTCTCAATATTTAATAAACTCCGTAAGGATTCGCTTCACCCCTCAAGCCTGCCTTTCTTTTTACGTATTCCTAGGCCTTTTCGATGTATCGTTTTGGTTGTGAATTTGTACTAACCTTTAGCGTTGAAGGTCTGAAGAACGAATCTAGAGGAAGGTTGTTTCAGCATCTGGAAAGTGCTTAGCCTATCTTTTGCGGCACTCCTTTTAACCTGCCAGTAGGACCACCTTAGCGTCTTGGGTAAGATCTGGTCGGGTCCATTGCTTACTAGTCGAGTTCCTTTGAACGCAGTAGCTATTCCCCGTTTCTGTCTACTGTATGAACCTTCCTGATTTCTTTTTTTCAGCCAAAATGTCCCATAACGCATCTAGCTTTAACTGATTGCACTAACGAGACGGCGGTGGGCTATCTTTTAGGGTTCAATGCGATTTTGCAGGTACTCATCCTTAGCCTGGTTCTTTTGTTCCCTAAAGGCTGAAGTCTTCTTCGTAACCCAGGGCAGTTTCACTATCCTCCTTCTAACTCCAACAGCGACTTTCACAGAAGAAATGACACATACACTGAAGTCTTTCCGAGCTTCATCGACGTTGCCAGTTTCTGGCTTGTCTCTAAAATCACTCTTTACTCCCACCCCAATAATTTGGCTAATTGCATCTCCTTGGGGCATTTTTAACCCTTTAGGGTCGAGAAGCGACCATGTTCAGCCATCGAAATTAGGGTACGACAATATTGTGATTGGACCCAGTGCAGGCGTACAACCTTACCCGAGTGTCAAGTAACGCAGTGCGTGATTTTCGGCCGATGAGAATGTGTCCAATTAGTTGTTAAGGCTTCCAATAAAGGACGTCCAGGTAGTTTGGTCAACTCACTTATGAAGGAACGAGGTCCCCCAATGAGCGCTGTTTGTTGGGCACAAACTTTATAAACTTCTGCCTTCGCCATTCGCGATGTCAATTCTTTGACGACTGTGTGATCTGATGATGTGTTGTTTTCATCCCCAACCTTCTCGTTGAGGTTGTTTGTGATAATTGTGTCATCTTGACATAAGTAGTGCTGACTAATGACTACAGGCAACCATAGAAAGCGTTTTTTGTCGCTGTCAAACGTTTGTTGAGGCGTGCGCGACAGTGACATTCAGCCTCGCCGATTTCACGTATCCGTGAGAAACTATTATCCTCTTCGACAACAGTACAGTAGAAATGAGTCATATGTAGTGCATGCTTCACTCTAGAGAAAAGGATGATATTCATACTAGCCCCTGCAGTCTACGATCGTTTGACCGCAAAAATGGATCATCATATTGTTCTTGAGGCGCTCCCTTTCCAAGTATGCGAGCTTTAAATCCCAATAGATTAGGCCTGTAACAATGGGCCGTGCGTCAGACATCGCATAGTTTGCCTAGTTGAGGAACGAATCTTCTAATATGCAATAGATATCTTATCTCATGTAGTGTTGAGCATTTGTAAGACAGATTTCTAGATACGAAGTTGTCTGTTGTCTTTAGTTACGTGCGTGAGCCAGAAGCTGTTCTCCTGATTTCAATACTATAGCAGCAGGTTGCGATGCCACTCAACAAGGATTCAAACTCTTGCAAAAGTTTAAGAGGCTGTGCAAGGGGCGGTGATTTAGAACCCCCCTCCCACTAAACCTTGCTATTAGTTTTGTTTCAAGTTTATATTATAAACTTGTAAGGATAATGTTATTTCTCTATGGATGTTATTAATGTGTGAAATCTCGACAGTTGGTGCCCAGTAATTTTTTGTTTTGCTGCATTTCATTTTTATTATTCGTTTTTATTTGGGTCCTTTTTAGTTCCCTTTACAAGCGACACGCTTTTCTTCGATGTGAAGACGAAAAGGAGCAATTTCTGTATTATATTTTGTCCCTGAATGCTGCCAACTTCTGGTGTTTCACAAACACTTTCAGCTGCACAAGTAACGCATCTCTTCTAATATGTGTGAAAATTGCTTGGTAATAAATGCTTTGCCGTTTTGTAGAAATCACTTATCAAGTAGTGCTTATGCTTGGAGGAGGCCGTTTCGCCTTTTCGGCTGGCCAACCAACATTATCATTGCGAATATTTGGAAGCTTGACCCACACCGAAGCAATATCAGTTCCCAAAGGATCATTGAAGTTTACCTTTGAGGTAAATCTTTTAGAAACTTTTTGGGCATTTACTGAAGTACTACCAGTTATTCGAATCTGATATGCTCGATTCGTCAGTGAGCACCTTAACATATAGATGATATTTGTTTTATCAGATTTCTAATTCTAATAATTATATCATCCTCCCCTGGGTCTGCAGTTAGTGAGAGATTTCATTATATGCGTTTTCGCGTATTAGCATTTTGTTTCTGCACCGCTTTATCAACCCAAGCCAGGTGCACTTGCTTGAATTGTTAATAGTTCTTCTAAGCAGTAGTAAATTGTTCGCTTTCCAAAATGCAACCTCTTAATCTTCTTATGACTCTCATGGCTATAGACATTGATTAAGAACCGTTTCTTCAAATATGTTCTTTAATAATCATATGTCATTTGCAGGCT